CTTTATTTGCTTTGGACAACGATGGGATTGGGCATTGCACCTCCGGGCATCCTTCCTCTATCACATGGCAACATAAAATTACTGATCCAAGCGATACGCTCTCGTGGAGAGTTCGACAAAAAGGCCGTGTTTTAACAATTTTAACGTTAAATATCTCAGCTTGTATTTGAGCCAGGGAGCCCAAATTTTATATTTAGAGTCAGGACGTGGTACAGAACGGCCACATAAAATTTCATCAAAATCGGACAACTTGTTTTTACGAAAGGTCCCCCCTTAATGTGGTGGTGTTGCGTACAGTAGCGCGAGTCTTGCCCTCTCTGTGTTGCGTTTGTTTGTCTAAGTTTGGTGTTTGTTTCTTCTGTTGCAGGTGAGTCTAGTCGCCTACTAGAGTATACTATGGAGGTGGAGAGCGGCCGAGCAGTCCGCGTGAGTCATTGAATGCGACTGCATAGAGCGCGGCGCGGCGTGTCCCGCGTGGCGCGGCGTGGCGCGGCCCGCCCACTTCGACTCGGATCCCTCAGGGGGCAGGGCAGGGCAGGCAGGGGCGTAGCGTGCCGGCTACCTCAGGAGGGGCCGTCCCTAACCGGCGAGGGGTTTCAGCGTGGTTGGCTGGGAAGTCCACTGGAGGACAATGTCTAATTCATATCGCGGCCGAGGAGTTTGGGGGTTTTCCGGGGAGGTTGATGCTGCGGAGGATCTCCTCCTCGTTGGGGTAAAGCGATTTCACCTTCGAGGGAACGGAGTTTATCCTTCCCAGATGTCCGCCCCGTCGTTGTCGTCGTCGTCGTGGACCCGTCGTGTCCGGCTTTTCGATCGGCTTGGCGCTGCGCCACCACCACCGGGTGCACCTCCCGGCCCAGCACTTCATCTCCTTTGTGGAGAATTATTTCAAAGTGTCTCTATAATGTGACACTCGCAGTCCCTCTGTGCGTTGCTGCCGCATTCTCGGCAGCATTCTTCTTCATTGCGATTTGCACCCCTCGATGACAGCATATGTGTGCGTGTCTGTGTGTGAGTGAGGGGATGCGCAGGGTCGTTTATTGAACCCGAGCCGAAGGGGGGAGCCGCAGCATCAACCCCCTCGGAAAAAATGGCTGTGGGGAAATGTGGGTGAGGAGTGCAGTGGTGCAGGCAAAGGGCCGGGGCACGGAGGGCGAGCAACAGACCTGCCTTGGGGTCGGCTTTAGGAGGGTTGTGGTGACGAGCCGAGCTGATCCCGGCCGAGCCGGGCCGGGGCGCGCGGCCGTGCAGGGGAGCCGAGCCGAGTCTTGGGGCCGCGCGGGGCCGGCCTTTACAGCCACAGGTTGGAGTAGAGGTTGGAGCCCTGACGTCACCCGAGTGCTGCTCCGAGTGCGCGCCCGAATGGCCCGATCGCGTCCCGAACCGGCGCGTCGAGCCGAGCCGAGCGCGGCCGAGTCCAGCCGGAGCGTGGCGGGCTGCCGCGGCCGAGGCGGAGGAGCCGAGCCGGGGCAGCCGGCGAGCCTTGGCGGTAGGCCTGCCTCTCGGCTGCGCCGTGTTGGTGCCCGGCTCGGTCGCCAGTTCGCATGTCGACTTGGTAGCGTTCGCACGTTCGTGCCGTCGGTACGGAGTTCGGCCCGCTGTTTGGTTGTGTGTCTGTGTGCGCGAGTGACTTAGTGGACGTGCGGCAGTGTGATCAGTGACGAGAGTGACTCTCTAGTGTCCTCCGTGTCTAGTGCACCTCGGCCCGGCCGGTCAGTATGACCGTGGAGTTGGCCGCCGGCTTGTGAAAGTGACGCGAGTGACGACAGTGTTTCGAGTGATTCAAGTGACATGATGATGACCGGGTTGATGCGTGGGGGCATGGGGGTCATGATGCCGGGCGGCCTCTGCGCCCCGGAGTCGTCCCCCGAGGTGACGTCCTCGTCCGGCCCCCTCGGCGCCCTGGGCCAGCTCGGCGCCCTCGGCTCGCTGGGGGTCGTCGCCAACACCTCCCACCATGGACTAGGGGGTCTTGGCGGCCTGGGGCACCACCCCCTCGGGGGCGGCGGCATGGGCAACATGAACAACAGTGGCGGCGGTGTCATCAGCCCCTCGCACTCGCTGGGCTCCTCTGACATCGGCGACGTAGACCTGGAGCTGTGGGACCTGGACCTCCAGGGCAACCCCCAGCCCCGGCAGAACCTCATGATGCACCACCGGCTGCAAGGGCTGCAGGGTCTGCAGGGGCTGTCCCAGGGCAACACCGGCTTCGGCACAGGCCACGGCACCAGCCAGTGCTCCGACACCAGCGAGTCCATCTCAGGTAAAGAAGATCTCCTGCGTCACTCCGAACGGGGCGGAACGGGCCCGGGCCCCTGCGGAGGGCCCTCGTCGTCGAGGGCCCCGCGCGCCCCCCGCGTGATGCGCCGTGCGAATAGGCGCTGACCTATTTAACGCCAACCGCGACCTAGTGGCTGCTATCACTATGCGTTATCACGCTTATCTTGGGGCTGGTGGTGTGGCGGGGTGGAGCCCGCGGTGAATCGCGCCCGGCCAGCACTCGATCCGATCATGGCCGCCCGCGTCGGGCTGACGGACCGCCGCCCGGCACGCCCCAGGCGCAGCGCGGAACCGGCCGATTCTGTTGAAGCTGCCGCCGCGCTGGATTACAAGGGCGGAGGCGGGATTTCCGCCGGCAGTCCGAGTTCGGGGAGGCCTTTTACCCATTCGGAGAAGCATCCCCTACGTGATGGCGTGAGCGTAGGGCAAAAGGGTGTGGCAGACGGGCAGAGAGAGAGAGAGTCGCTGGGATATGGGTCAGTCCCGCCCCGGCGAAAGGGATGCTCGCGCTGCCCGGCCCACCCCGAGCCCCTCCCCGGGCCCCACCCGCCGCCGCACCCGGACTGGCTGGCAGGGCAGGTGCTTTTCCTTTCTCTTCCATGTTTACTTGTGCTTGCTCATCGTCGTCGTCAATCGCTCGATCGGCTTACGCTGAGCTGCCCTGTCGCCGGCCGGGCTTGTCTTGCTGGTCGAAACGACGAAACTGTAGTATACGAGACGGGGCAGAGGGTTTCTTATTGTTCGCGATTTGTCTCAATCCCGAGGAAGGGTGAGGGCGACAGCGCGACACCTGCGCGGGCGGCGGCGCGTGACTCGGTGGGGGTGTGGTGGGGTCGTGGAGGTGGTGGTCGCGAGCCAAGGGGTCATGGGGGGGAGGTCGCGAGCCAAGAAGAAGAGGACGGCGGCGGCGGCGGGGTCGCAGCGCGACGACGGCCTCGGCCCATGGTGTTTGTTGAACACGTTATTGTAATGGTTATCTCCCTTGCAATGGCGGCGGCGGGTTCAAGGGGTGCCGCGCCGTCAGCCGTCCTGATACGGGATGCCTCGGCGAGCGCCCTCCCTCCTGCGGGGCGTGGCGGGGCGTGGCGGAGCCCAGCCGAGGTGTTCTTTCCTCCCGTGCGCCGGCCGGGTGATTACTCCCCCACCGGGCCGGCCTGGCTGTTTGCTATCTTACGTCGCGCGCTCTACACAAAGCATTGCGCGCTCTCCCCCACCCCCCTCCACCACCACCCGCGCTCGCCCTCTCGATGTGGGTTATCGCTCCGTGCATTTTTCTTTCCTCATTTTGTCCCCCCTCCCCTCCCCCCTTTATTCGAATTTCTCCCCGTGACCTGCGTCATGTTGCACGCACGGTGGTGGTGGTGGTTGGGTGTGGGGGCCCGGCGGCGGTGACCTCACCGTGCCCTGCCTGTATCGCGACCAGATTGGTTCGTAATTACCCGCCCATTCTCCAGCACCCCTTTGAGGGGGTGATTTCCACCCCATTCACGCGGGAGGGCGGGGGCGTGCGTGTGCGTGGGGTGGTGACGTTGGTGCGTGGGCAAGGGGGGTGCGTTTTGACGTTTTGACCGAGGTTCGGATCCCCCCGCGGCGGAATCACCGAAAAGTTTCCACTTTTTCTTTCTCGCTCTCTGCGGGTTGAAGGTTGTTTTCGGAGCCCTGCCGTTGATAAAGCGCCAGCCAGCCATGGCCCCCGTCTAGAGTGACACTCTGGCACGGGTATCGGACTCTCTCTTTCTACGCCGTGTGGGGAGCCCGTCGTGGTATCGCCCCGAAACTTTTCCATCAACTTGCGCGACCTGAAAATAATGATGATAATACTCGACAATAAAAACGAAGCTGCTCTGCGTAACGCGCAAACGAGGGCGACGACGGCCGGTGGCGTTGCGTCATGGGAGCGTTGGTCACGTGGTACTCTCCGGTCACACCGTGTGGGAGAGGGAGGAAGATGAACAGCGACAAGGGCTGCGCGGAGGAGAAGGACGGCCGTGAAATGGGATGAGGCTGTCTCACTCGATCACTTAGGCCCGTCTCCGGCCCGTCCGGCTCGGCCCCGCTCCGCTTGCGTCCCGGAGGGCCTCGGCTTTTTGTTTACGGCCGGGTCGAGTGAGTGGATTGGGGGGGCGCACGGCACCCTCGGGAGGCGCAGCGGCGGGGCCGAGGGGGCGTCCTGGAGCGGGCCGGGCCGCCGCGGTGGGTGGCGGCCGCCTCCGTCCTTGACCCGATCGCCTCGCCGCGCACTTGTCGCGCAGAGTCAGTCGATTGGGGTCGTGGCCGAGGCGCTGCAGCAGCGGCCCGCGCGCCTGGGCCTGGGGACCCCTTGCGCCGGCCCGCCACGGCCGCCACCTGTTGAGCCAGCGCAGCGCTTCCTGGTCTCGGCCACGGCCTTGGTGGTGCTGCGGGCGGGGTGCGGTGCGGGATGGAGCAGCTCATCCTTCTTTCCCTCCCTGCCTCCCTCCCCGCTCGTCCGGCCGGGTGGCCCGGCCTCGGCCCCGCCTGTGCTTGGCACTGGTGCGCAGGGATGGCCGCGTCCTATCTCGTGTTGACTGGGCCAGGGAGGAGGGAGGGGGGCCTGGGATTGGGATTCCCATGGAGGGCTTATTGCCTGCTCCTTGGCTAGGGGTGTGCAGTCGCGGAGCACGGGCTGCACCAGCACCAGACACATGTCTCTGGGCTGCACACGCAGGCACTCAAGCTGTTCCCCGCGGTGCTCGCGTGCGTGTCCGGCTCGCACAGCCCTAGCCGCGCAGCCCTGGCCTCGCCGGCCGCGTGCTGCTGCTGCTGCTGCTGCTGGTGCATGTGTGGTGAGGCGTGGCGTTGCGTGGCGTAGCTGGAACGCTGACGTCCGCGGCGTGTGCACTTTTTCTGCGCTGCCTTCGCACGCGAATGTCTTGGTCGTCGCGCGGGGATGAGAAAATAATGGGCGGAATTTTCCTCCTCCTTCTTCCTCCCCCCGTTCCTCCTCCTCGCCTTCCATTTCTCTCCTGCGCCCGACGCAGGATCAGTGTGAAGGCCCCGCCCCGCCGCCGCTGCTGGCGCCCTCGCCTGGGCGTGGCGCGGCGTGGCGCGGCGTGGCGCGGCGTCGCGGTGCGTCGCCTTGACGCGGCGGCGTGTGTCGTTTCGCGCCGATTGCCAATGACTTGTGCCCGCAGCTACCGGGCCTTCCGGTGTCCTTGCCTGTGTTTTTTGTCAGCGTGGCGGGGCGTGGCGGGCCCACGATGATACGGGCGCGCGTCACTTGGGCCCTTGCGCGCCCCGCGTCCTCTCCTCAAAGTCACCCCCGCCTGCGGGCGGCGGGGCGGGGCCGGCCGCGCCGGACGGAGCAGATGCTGTGCTCGCTTTATTCCAGAGGCCCTGATGGGACGCCATAAAAATGTTGTTCGGGATTCTGTCCGTCCGGTTTCCGCGAAGCGCCCGCTGCTGCCAGTCCGGCCGGATGGGTCGGGATCCCCCTCTCGGATCCGCCCCCCTGTCGTCCTGTCCTGTCCTCTCGCGTCCCGCACCACCGGATTGGATTAGCCTTTTGTTTCTGGCAGCGCGTGATTGATCGGGTTGCCGTTCAGGACCGCGTCTGGGAATGTCGGCCGCCTGCCTGGTGGGCAGCAGCAGCGTCAGCCCGGGGGGACTGGACCGGGGGCTTCGGCGAAGCGCCCGCCGCGTGGCGTGTCCTTCCGCGCACGCGGCTGTCCTGGCTCGCGGGGCGGGCCTGCGGGTGCGCTCGCTCCGCCCGCATCCCTGTCGCCCTGGGCGCGCTGGGCTGGGCACGGGGTGGTGCTGGTGACGACGCCTGCCTCGCGCGCTCCGGGTGCGCGGCTGCCGCGGCGGCGGATCCCGGACGTCGCTGTCCTGCGTCATCATAATGAATGTTTAGCTCGGCCGGCCTCGCCCTCCCTCCGGCAGGTGGTGTCGCTATCTTAATTAAACTAGGGAGCCGCAGGACCTTGAACGGGACGCCACCCGTCGCCACGCCCTCGTAGGGGGTGGTCCCGGGCCGACCCGAGCCCGTGGGTAGGGCTAAGCCGCATCGGCAACATCGGCTGCCCTGCTGTTCCCCGTAGGTCCACCGGGTCCGCCTGCTGCCTGAGCTCGCGCTCCTCGAGGGCCTCGTTATCACTTCTGGGAAGGGCGCGCGCGTGCGTGCGTTTCCTCATCGTGGACCTGCCCTGCCCAGAGTCGCCTGCCTCCTGGGGGTCTCCCCCGCCCGCCTCCTTCGCGCTGCTGTAGTCTGTCCGTCCGTGCTGGTCTCGTCCTGCTGCGCTTTGGTTCGCAAGAAGCGCGTGGGGCAGAGCCCTCCCTGGCTGGCCGGGCCGGCGGACTTGGACAGTGTTTTATTTATTTTTTGTCGAGGCTGCCGATTCGGCGCAAGAAGAGACGCTCTGCATGGCGCTCCTCCTGGGAAGCGGCGAGGCCTGGGACCGGCCACGGGGCAGGACGCGGGCCTCGGCGTCAGCAGCGGGGGTCGGGTGGCTCGGCCACCACCACCCCGGGTTCGATTCCCACTGTTGGCGTCATCCGGCCGAATGTACCTAATAACTCCCCCCTTCATATCTTTTTCCTGTTTTTTCGCGGAAGTTCACCCGTGCGCGGGCAGCGCGGGCAAGGTTCGCAAGCGGGTGGGCTGCTGCTCATTAGGATGACAAGTGGACGCCGCCGTCCACCACCTGGCCTCTGGCCGCGGGCCGCGCGTCTCTCTCGCACCCACAGTGACGGGGTGGTTTTCGCGTTTTCGGGGGGAGCAACTTCTCCTCCTCCTGGTCTCGTGTTTCTTGGACAAGGCGCGGCGGCGGCGGTCTCTCCCCCGCGACAGGTGCGCCGCCGCGCCCGCTGCTGCACCTGTTGCCGTGTGATTGTATGCTAGCAGCAGGGGGAGTGAGCGCTCCACTATCCGCACAGAGAATGAACCGGCGCGGAAAGTAAAGTGGTAACTGCAATAAAAAGTAGTATACGCAGGCCACGGAGCCACTTTCTATTGTTGCGCCTGCC